TAAGGAGGGAGGGTATAAGGAGAGGGGTGGGTGTGAAGCCATGAGAAAAAGAGAGAAAAGTTAGGGGGAAAAAAAGGTAAAGTTGAATAAATCTATGGAGAATAGAAAACGACAGAGAAGAGAGTGAGAAAGACAGAGAGAGAAAGGGAACAAGAGTGAGCTAACCATCAAGAGCTTTTGATTCCCACCATAAAATGTTCCTTTTAAGAATGCCCATGAAATTAGCTTGCTGAAAGAAAGCAATCTCAATCGATTCAATCCCCTCTAAAAAAACTTTCAAACAGCCACCATACCTCCAGCTCTTAAGAGTCTCTGCGGGACATAAAATAGCTTCTCGTCTTTTCTCTCTAACCCCCCCCCCCTTTTTCCTCTCTGTCTTACTCTTTCTCAGTTTTCCCTTTCACCCTACCTGCCATCTCTACATTGGCCCACTGACAGAAAGTGGAGAAATCTTTATGTGCAGAATTGAAAAATGGGGGTCGGTCCACACTTTTCAATTTGTGTTTGGCTCTCACCAAACTGCCACTTGTCAGCTTCAGGTGGATATCTGGGTCTTACTAAGCAGCACTATTTACAAGGTCCCAGAATGAAAAACACTACAAAAATATCTTCCAATGTGCACTGTGTGCATACAGAAACCAGTGATGGGAAGATATTGTATCTGCAGACAGATGGTTTATTTACGTTTGGAGGATTGGACCTTTAAGTAAGGTTGTAAATCAAATTCACAAAGCTTCGTCGTGCATCAAGTCATTGCAGAGGTCCCACTTTCTCACCTCACGCTCTCACTCGTTTACTGCCGCAATCTGCCTTCATAAAATAAGGATAAAAATCATTTACAGCTGAAGAAGGTCAAAAAAGACTGGACAGACATCTGGTAGATTGAAAAGCCCTAATGTGTTGTTAATATACTACATATTAAATTGGTTTAACTATACAGAAATCAAGTTAAAAAATGACTGTAGGAGGAATAGAGAATATAGGTGCATGCATGTCTGCAAAATGGTCGATTATTACCATTGAGAACACAGTCAATTTACAGCTGTGAAAACTAACAGCATCCAATCTGTCTTTTCATCTGAACTCAAAATGAATACAAACAATCATTTGAGAACACAGTGTGACTTGTCAATAAGGGGTTAGGCATGCACTCCAGCAGTCCAAATAACCTTTCCTTCCCTGGACCTTCCTAGAGCTCAGAAAGTCACAAGATAGCCCGGTTAAAGTAGAATAAAAGAGGAACTTTGAGGCAAGTTGGCCTAAAGTTGTATTTCTGTGGGACAGAGTGTGGGTGCCAGGAGCCGTCCCTAGGACAGAGTGTCCGATGGTGGGGGAAACCAGGGCAGGAGAATCCCTAATGGACTCCAGGATCCCTGGAAACCTGGGTGAGTAAGAGTGGAGAGGAGAGGAACTTCTGAAAGCTAACTTCTGCACTTTCAGGGATCAGCGAACAAAAGCAGGTGGAACACGAGGAGGAGGACAACGGAGTGAGGGAAAAGTAGGAGGACGTTCCAGAAAAAGGAGGAGAGTGAGGTAGAGGAAGAGAGGATGAATGAGATGGTCGACCTCGCCAAGTGGCGGAAGCAGTAGAAATAGCTGCCCCACTTGTAGACACACTTTCTGTTGCTAGCCGCCTGTCCTGGATGCACTGGGGTAGCTAACCTATATAGGCCTGCTCCACGCCGCAGCATCTCCCACACACTAACACACACACACAGTCCCTCTCTGTTTCTCTCTCTCACACACACATAGTCATGCACACATGGGAGGGGAGGGGGGAGGCTAAAATCAGGCCGCACATGCTGTAGCTACTGCTGAGTTAAGTCACCTGTGTTGCTAGCCTAGCTTGCTAGCGGGCAACCAGCTGCTCCTCTAATTAAGAGCCCATCTACTCAAGAGGCCTGAGCATATGGAGGACTCTATGGCTAGGTACTGGTTTTATAATGGATAACAAAGCCATACGGGGGAGTATTGGCCAGACTTCCTAAAGTTGGACGTATTAGGAAGATATGGTTATTGCGGTCCTGAGCAGATACGACGCATTAAAGGAGTTTGGGAATACTACAATACCTCCAATATACTTCCAAGACTTTGAAACAGTGATGAGACAGCAAATTTGAGTATTGCCACTTTCTTTTTTTAATGGACTGTACGTCTGATATGCTGATATCATGCTGTTTTCCACCTGCTGAGTAGATGAGACACTTAGTGGCACTTCTTGAATTCAAATGATTACCAGCCAATTAATCAAACCACTTCACCTCAGAGAGGTGATATAATTGAGTGAATCATCAAAGATGAAATCTCTCCTCATATATACTGTACTGTAGGAGCAAAAGCAGAGCATCTCACTCACTACCCTCCTGGTGAGGCAAATCAAGATGAAATTTGTTTTAATTAAATTAATTGAAATTAATCAGAATGTCAGAAAGAAATTACCATAATTGAGGGTATCAAACAACTTAAAAATCTGTAACTTCCCAATACACAGTCCAGTTTTTGTCTGGGCTTTTGGTCCAGAGACTGGACTAACAATTTCTAGTAACTAAGCAAACAGAGGCATATAAAATATGAATAGTGGCATCACCATACTAATGTACGAATTATGCCATGTGAGGCATGACAACACATAAAAAACACACTAACAGCCACAATATTGTGTAAATTATAATGTCTAAGGCATAAACGCAACCTATTTGACTGAAGTTACTTTGACACTTTCAGCAACATGTTTACTGACTTTGCTGTCCAAGGCCACGACTAATGGCTGCTTCACAAAACAAACACTCGCTCATACACTTCCATAGGCAGACACACTAGGCAATGACAAAAACATTGGCACGGATACAAATTTTGCACACTAACACATACTGCACACGCAAGCCCACATCTTTGCTTGCTTTAGCCTCCAGTACAAACATACAATTATGCTAGGCCATTTCAGGCTTCATTATGAGAAATGCATTAGTCAGTGATGGCAAATGGAATACAGCGCAGACATAACTAAGGTTGTGTGTGTGTGTGTGTGTTAATGTGTGTGCATGTGTGAGCAAGTGGTAGAGAGAAAGAAACTTTAGACACAGGGAAAGAAAAGATAACAAAAAATGATGACAGTTATGGTAAAATTATAGGATTCAGGGAAGTAACTTCAAGCAGACGCAGTCAGCAAAGTGGCATTTTTCTGCGGTATAGTGAGGTGTGTTCTTTGCCTGAACCTGTTTTGATGACTTGTCGTGCGCTGCACAGTCAAAGTAGGGTGGGTGTCACTAGCAATCCAGCATTTGACCGCAATTTTGGTGTCAAGTTTCCTTGTTTTTTTGACGCTACAGTCCACCTTTGTGGACCTGGTCAAGAGTGCACTGCTCAAAGTGCACCTACAGTAAATCTGTGTTATTTGAATTTTAGTTGGTGGAAACACGACCCACACGTTATATTTCTGTTCTATAATAAATCCAGAAAGGTAGAGTAAAGATTCATGTCTGGTTCTTATCAGCAACTTTTATCCACAACAGCTTATACTGTAAAGGCCTATCCATTTAGCTGATTGACTCTGTTTATTACCATCTGAGGACAGTAGGTACAGAATGTGTTCTATCTGTACTCTCTAATTTGATTGGTGCACATTGTTAAAGCATATATAAACCAGATCCAATGTGAACAACACCTTAACCAGATGTTGTTCTGACACAGGTCCACATATCAAACTTGTCTGTGATGGTTCATTATTTTACACAGGCTGCAAGATTATGGAGTAAAACTCATGACAGGTTTTGGAGGCAAAGACACTGTCAAGATGAACCGAACAAGCAAAGTTTACTTAGCTCCATGGAAAATTGGAAGGCAATAAAACCCTAATTTCCCTCCAAGTCAGAGAAAACACTTCAGACCATCGTTCATCTCCTCGTGTCCAAATGTAGCACAAAAGACCTGTGGCTGAATAAACAACATAACGTGGTAAAGCAGAATCATATCTATTCATTTACCTGTGCTAGTTTATTTTAAAGTTACTGACCTTACTCAGGATTCTTTACTCCATTGCAAAACCGTAACTTTGTACTATACATTTTACAGAACCAGCGCAGGTAAAATTACACTACTGCTCATGCAGGCACTCACAGTTCTGTGTAGCCAATAACTGAAGTTCACAGTAGTGGAAAAGTAATTTGGTGTTCTGCAACACATACATAAACATCCACAGAGGGGAAGTTTTATTTCTCTTGTGTACAAATAATGCATTCATTTTGCATTTTACATTGTATAAGTAAAGTCAAACATTATCTGGTAGGTGAGTGTGCTGTGTGCATTATGTACCCACTCGCTCACACAATGACACTGCTTTCCCCTGTTTCTTGCCAACTTTATACACAGCAGGATTAAAGGTATAAAAGAACTTTCTTAGGAGAGGATATGAAAAAGGATTTTTAAAAGAAAGAAACAAGAAACAAAGAAACAGACCCCAAACTCTGCTCCTGTTTCCGTTACGAGCAGCCATTTTTAGACAGTCATCCATTAAGTCTGCTGCGTTCCCATACTGTCAGCCCCTAGTGAAGCCAAAGAGGCCATGTCAACTGAGGGCGTTAGGCAGGCAGGCAAGTAGGAAGCAGCACAGAACCCTCTCTCTGCACCGTGGGAATTAGAGGAAGGAGGGGAGGGGGATCAGGTAGTGGACTATAATATGAATGTCACTGCAGTACAGCATCTTCAGAAAGAGTAAGATGGATTAGAGCTTTAGCTCAAAGTGAAAAGATGTGCTTAAAGAGGTGGGAAAGAAAAGAAAGAAGGGCTGGTAGCTGTGGCTCAGCATAAAATGCATTGCCACAGACAGACAAGACAAGAGCGTAAGATTTTTGTTAGAAATGAGCTTCATTTAGTGATATGTAATCTTACAGATTCAGGCATTCTTACATAAAGCACATTTTCTGGGCTAGAAGTGCACAATGCATTGTTTGTGTCTGACAAAGCGAGCGGGAGTGGGGGTGTGTGGTCTGTGTGTATCTCACCTCTGGCCCCATGTGTTCTGTCTGTGTTGTGCGGTCAGTCATTTGGCAGTCTTTCATCTTCAGGGCAGCTTTGGCACTCTCCTGCATACAAAACAAACACACACCCATCAGCCGTGTCCAAAATCTCATAAAGAAAGAACATCAAATTCGAATAAATCAGAACAACTAAATGCTCTCCCAGCAGACGTATGCCTTGCCGCCACTCCCAACACTTACGTACAGTTGGCTTCCATGCTTAGCTAGCTATCAAAAGAAAAGAAAGAAAGAAAACATGCAACTCTAAAAAACCTCACCACCCCGAATCCCTTCCTCCCTTTCGGCTGCTTCTCCAGGAAATCCAAGAGGTCATAAAACTGTGCTGAATTGCGGAAGAACTTTTTCTACAGCCAAATGTTGGAGCAGGGGCCCTCCTCAAAGTGCACCAGCAGAGAAGAATTCATAAAAAGTGACAGCTAGTGCTGGCCAGCCTGCTAGAAAGGTCCTTCTAGGAGATAATTAATAGGTTTCCTCTGGCAGATTTACAGACGGAGGTGTAGAGAGAAAAGTGTTGGCCCAGTCCTTCAAAATACAGCACTTTTACCTTGACCAGGAACCTGCCGTCTCCCGTGTTACCTCTATGTGATTATTTTGAAAAGGCAGGCCGCAAGTCCTCTGCATGCAAAGAACCCAGCACCATTTCCACCGGGAGCATTTTATGACGATGTCACTAATCATTCTGACATGCTCGCCCTACACTGCTCATGGGTAGGGGAACAGAATGGGTTGAAAGTTGCGGTGGCTATGAAATATTGAGAAATTCATTAACCTTGATTAAAATTAATCAACCAAACCAAGACAAGGTGTAAAGGATGGGTTAATGGTAAGGAGAATGAAAGAAAGTTAATAAATGACGTAGCTCTAAACCCAAATATATACTGTAATATATACTGTCTTGTTGAAATCCGGCAGAAGCGAGGTGACAGATTGAGTTAAAAATCTGTTTTCATTAGTCATGCCCAAGCCTACATGAAAAGCAAGGGAGGCTTTCCGCAGCTAAATGTTACAGTTGGAGCACAGTCCTTCAACAAAATGCACCAGGAGAGAGAGGAGAAAACTCATAAAAAGTGACAGCTAGTGATGGCCAGCCAGCTAGCAGGTCCTTCTAGGAGATAATTAATAGGTTTTCACTGGCAGATTTACAGACGGAGGCAGAGCGAGGAGAGCGTTGGCTATGAGCTGCCCTTTCCTGCACTTTAACTTAGCTGCGGCAGGCACTGTATCCCTTTTAGACTCTCACACATAGACACATACACACCCCCGCCCAATGTTTTCAAGCACAGCATGGCCCCACAAAGGCGCAACTTTATACATTTGAAGCAGTGACAGAAGGACCTTTGTTCCAAGGGCATATGGTGCCGATAAAAATAAGGTTAGGCTGTGGCCGCAGCAAGGATACAGGATAGTATTAGACAATTCATCAATACACACACCAACAGATATATGCAGGCTTTTTGCTCGTAAAAACACACAGGCACTATATGTCTGGAAATCAAATCCGGCAGGAGCCAGAACATCCTTGTCAGAGAGAACTGCCAAACAGATGAATACACATGCACACACGCAAACACACACGTTCAAGGCTGATCAGCATCTGTATGTGTGTTTGTGCATGCACAAGCAAATCCATGTCCTAAAGACTGATTGATGAATCCATGTGTGATGTGGAGAAAAACATTTGGTGGCTTCAACATGTCACAATATGGAAGAAAGAGAGAGAGGAAAAAGCAAAAAGAAAGATCAGAAGAAGAAAGAAATCAAAGAGAGACAAAGACAAAATAAAGAGAAGAAGATGATCAAATTGTTTACAGACTCGGAGACTTAAGGGATAAGCCAGGTGATATTCTATATTTTATATTTCTATTTTGTTATTATCAACAAATCCTATGAAAAGACCAAAAGCAGCAATGATTTGACTCTACTAACAAGTATTGCTTGTGTAGCCTGATGCAGTGTAGATTCCTCTTTGTCATAGACCGCTATTGTTGTCCAAAAAACAATAAAAACACATCAGTGAGCCACTGTTGCACTGGCTGACATGTTCCTCCATTACCATGAACATGAAAACCGCAGTTTATTTTGATTAAATCCCACATACACTGTCCTGCTGCTGTAAAATAAAAACTGTAAAAACTCACTTTTGAAGAATCACCGAATCTGCAGCTGGATATAGTCCCTGACAAATGCACTATTTCCATTTCCAACATTTGCTAAAAAATACAGTGCGTTGCTTTGCCTTCGTCTCCTGTTTCTTATCTCTGAGACAGAGAGAGATTCAGGGAGTCCTAGTACTTGAAAGAGACAGCGAGTGAATGTTTGTGCCGACCTGGGGGTTGTTTTGTCGGTCCTTGGATCAGAACGATAAAGAAATATTAAAATAACACTGCCATAGAGCCATTATGTGTTTATTAATCAGTGATTTGCTGCACCAGCGAAAGAAGTGCCTCATACATTGAGGTTAAATGTATTCTTGTGAATAACCTTCTTGATCACGCTACTATAATCTTTTGATAATTTTACATCTTTATCAAAGCTAAAAATATAAGATCTAGTCGCCTCTGGACAAATCAATAAACCTGAGCCACTGAAGACTGCCTCAGTGAAATACTATCATCTTAAAAAAAAAACATAAAAGATCACATTTCTTCTAATTGGCTAATTTAGAATAGTTCATTTCTAAACTGTTTTATTTAATGAATTCCATTTCCTTGTGAAAGAAAATGATAATTAAATGTAAAATTCATTATAGATTATTACAGGCTGCTGCATGTATTTATCAAAAATAGAACCAACTACAAGAAATCATTTACTGGAATTAAGTGTACACTATGTTACATTGCCTGTGGACATGACATTTTAGAGAGAGAACTTATTGGTAGATGAACTGTTAAACAGTGTCAATAGACTTAATACAGCTCCTTTCTGGGGTGGGTATCGTACAAGAGAAAAGCTGTACCTGTGCATGTCTGAGTGGCCAATTTAAGTCCTCAGGTAAGTCTGAGGCCCCAGTAGAAATGTGCTCAATTTTGGTATCAACTCCAGATTGCTGAGTATTACCCACATAGCAAGGGGAGAGAAGGTAGGTAGGTGCTATTGACAGGAAGGGAGAGAGAGTGTTATCACAGTCAAAAGAGGACAGGAGACGAAAGACGAGGAGTGAGAAAAATGAGATGCGTGTGCCAGAAAGTGATCAAACAAGCAGATGCCAAATGAGACACAAGTCAGTGGGTTGGACTGGCATCTCTCACAACGGTGCCATAACACTGGCACATTATCCCGCTAAGGCCTGGCATAATGTCTGTATTACATCGCTTTGATAGAACAGGTGACAAATTACAGACTTGTAGATGACAAACGATGAAAAATACTGCCTTGTGGAGCATTTCTGCAGATGATCCAACAATCGAGCTTCCAAAAGTGTGGGGAAAAAACACAGACAGCACAATATATTTTGCATATAAATCTCTATATATTTCACGGTATAATTTGGTTATTCCAAATATTCAAACTTCCTTGTCTACAGGGACAGATCTTTGAAAACATTATACTTCTCTCTTGGCGGAACTAGAGTCCCAATAATTCTGCTATTACATTAAGCTGGCAGGAACAAGCAGTTTACATTAACAAAGATAGAAAAGATGGGCTTTCTGGTGCCACGCCATATGATATTGATGGTGTGAATTGGAGCCAACTATAAGGCCATTCTCACATTCATTTCCTCTCTCTTTCTGTGGTCAGTCTTTCCTGTCACTCCGCCCTCTGCTGTATGTCGTCTCACACGGCAGAACATCACAAGAGGAAAGACGTTTTGCTAATTCATGAACAAAAGTAAAACTTTCCTTCTTTTGAAATGGTTTTTTTTAACCTTTCTATAAAAGGACTCTATAATGCTTAAAAAGGAATGAAAAACATTGTGCTTCAAAGGCAATTAGTCTTTAATTCATATCCGTAAAACAAATAATTTAAAAACATCCAAGCTATTTTAATTATTAATTTTAAAGTTTAGAAAAACAGGAACCAAGAGAAAGGAACTGTCACAGAGATAAAATTAGATGAGCAAACCTCCCATTTCTCAATGTCTGATGCTATGAGCTGCTTCTCTTATTAGTTACAAAGACTTTACAGCATTTTGGAAAATAATTGTTCTTTTTTTATAGAACTAAGAACTATATAACTACTGATGATAAATTAAACCTTTCAATATTTTCCATCCTAAGTAGCGCTACAAAATAAACCCTTAATCCTTTTATTTTGTCTGGTCAACTTGTTCTCTCAGCACTTCATCGGGAGGACCATATTTTGACTATTTAGAGATTACTGTCAAATGACAAAGTCATTTTTAAAGTATCCCTGGACAGAAGACTATTTAGTGGTTTAAAAAGAATAAAATGTATTCTGCAGTAAGGGTACACAAGGGGCACAAGGGAAGTCAGAAATCATTAAAAAAGCTAAAAATGTTTTGTATTGCATTCACATTTGAACGCAGACCTGCCTATTATTACGTATAACTGGTGGTAGGTGGATCTTACCAGTTCACTCTGGAGTTTGAGAATCAGTTCGTCTTTCTCCCTCAGTTGTTGCAGCAAGGCCTCCTCTCTGCCAAGATCCTAAACAACAAGTAACAAGACACCATGTTACACATTGCTCAGGACAAAGCAGACAGCAGTGATTTATCCGAGGGACCATATTCCCGCAAAAGCAATACATAGAGCCTAAGAGGATGACAACATACAAAAGGTGTTCGTGTGTGTTTGTATGTTTGTGTGTGTGTGTGTATGTGTGTGTGTGTGTGTGTGAATCTCTGGCTGTTCCCATAAATGTTTATGTGTGTTTGCAAGTGTTTTATGTGCATTTATGAGCGTTTGTTGCTGGTCTTGCTAGTGTGAGGGTGTGTGTAATAAAGTTGTCATGTGATGCATGCTGCAGGACTGTGATCTCCTCTTCTCTCTACGTCTCTGTGATAAACTTGGCGCGTCCTATGGCGAAGCCCCGGAGCACACGGCACTTTAACATGACCTTGTGTTGTCAGGGGACATTACTGCGGGGAAGATGGAGAGGAGCAACAGAGACAGAAGACAGAAGAGGGAGGAGAATAATAATACCAACAAAAATAACTTTCTTAGGGCACCTTTCAACAAAACAGTTCCAAAGTTCTTCATAGTTTTAAATTAAAATGTGTTTGATGTTTATGTTGTTTGTCTCATCTATTCGTGGCACAAATTAAGTTCCTCAAGTAAAATTATTTGACATGACTTGTGTTTAAAAAAATACTGAAGTGAAAACAGCAAATAATTAAGTCTGCCAACATAATTTTCACTGTCAGGCCCAGCCATCTTTAGACCTTGGCTGAACTGACAGCAAAAAGGGCAGCTGCCAAAGCATCTCAGGCTACACACCAGCTCACAGGGAGGCTGATACTCAGAAACCTAGCTGAGCTCCAGACATAGCAGTTTTCATTAAAATATTTAACTTAATTCTAAAAGAGTTAGGTAGATAAAATGTTGACAGAGAGCAACACAGTTAAAAGGAGAGATTCTTCTGGGTTGCTCTCTGTCCACAAAAAAGAGAGAAAAGAGTGAAAGAAAGAGTGAGAGAGAAGGAGCGATACGATGGAGAGAACATCATGACAGCTAGATAGACAGACAGACAGACAGGCGGATGGTCATTACCTCTTCAAGGACATAAAAGCAGGAGAGAAAAAGAGGGGCAAGATAACAGGAGGGAAATGAGGGGGGAAGCGTGAGGAAAGGGGGACAGTGATAGAGAGATGGAGAGGACAGAGAGGGCCTGGGGCTGAGCATGATGGTCTGAGACCATGGGGAGCCATCTAGCTAAAGGACAGACAGAGAGTCAGAGGGAGACCACAGGGAACCATATAGCTACAACACCGTCCTTAAAATGACCTCTCCGATGCGAGCACAGACAGCTAGCCTCATATCAATATTCAGAAATGCAAAAATGTAACTTGTACATGAGTGTGTTATATGATTATTGTTACGATGTCTTAAAATTGTTTTGTTTTTTAAATCAGTAGAAGAAGCAGAACAAATGTTATATTGGCTGCATGATAAAGACACTTGCTGAGTGTAGTGGGAGGCTGATTCAGTTCAGAGTTAAGTGTACTCAAGCATGGCATGTTTTCTGAGTCTTAACTGAATGGAAAAGTAAAAGACCATCCAACATGGAGACAATCTGTTAATACTAAAAAATACCCTCTTTTATAATCCAGATGTATCTTCATAAAGAAATACTTGGCTATAGTCTGGGTTTTGCTCAGCAAGAACAAGTTCGTACATTGTGTCTGTTTTTTTTATTCTTGGTTTCTCAAAAAGTGAATACAAAAATGAGAGCTTGAAAGAAGTTTAAACGGCATAGGATCCATAGAGCAAACACACAAGAGACTTCTGCCGGTTGAGGGCGTCCGAGCCTCTACCTTGCGGTTTAGCCCTCCACTAACTCGAAGGGGGATAAACTGATTAAACCAATATACAAATACATTTGCCTTTTCAAGACCTGCAGATACTCTTAAACCCTGCTTATGTTCTCACCACACACAAGGACCCAACCACATCCATAATTTGAACTGAAAGGTGTTGGGGGGAGGGGGGGTTTCACACTGTTGACCATCTGGAGCCATATATGATGTATTCTCAGTTTGAGCATTGTTCTTCCTAAATAGAGATATATTTGTTGTTTTGACAAACGTGTCTTACACTCAAATACCAATAAACACTTACCACCCTCCTCCACAAGTTGGTCACTTTGTACCATAAAGACAGGTAGTGATCTATATATATAGATATTATACAATTTACTAAGGAATAGTATAAAGCCCATAATTCTCCAGAATCTGCAAGTGTCCTCAAAAGTTTTGATGGGTTCTGCCCTGTTTTACCTGCTTTGCGCTGCAATTTATACAGGCTTCTAACTTAGGTGTCTGGTGGCTTTTAAGTGGCAGATAAAAAGATAAATGGTTCAAAAGAAGACACAACGTAACAAGCTTTGTCTAAGTGTTCATAGGGATAGTACTAAACCAAAGTAAAGATTACATTTTTTTCCACTAATGAGATAGAGAAAAACAATTAATCATATATAAAAAGGAAACAAACCAGTGGTATTTGACGCAACTCATGAAGTGGACTCCTCGTGTTTTACTTCTTGGCTTTTTACAAGGAGGAACGCATACCTTATAGTATAGCTCGTTTTTCTAACTGAAGCACACACACACACACCGACACACACATATTTTCATCACACCCATCAGCACACACACACACACACACAGCAACCACTCCACAACATATTTATATTGGTTTGGGCGGGCTTTGTTTCATTTTCTTGCTGTACTTGAGTAAGCCCACACACCACACATCTACACACACACACACACATACACACACAGTGACATAATTTACTAAAACAACATACGGAGGAACTTGATTTGGGACTGGGAAAAGCACTTTTAAATTTGCTGTGACAATTACCACATGTGTGGAGTTTCGCAGATCCTTCCTAAAATCTATATCTCATTCACGATTAGAAAGGGACTTGAAGGGGCTTGTTTTCTAAATGAGCTGTCTTGGGGCTACATACCGCCACAGTGGTGCCTGCATCTGTGCCTGAACTTGTTGTGTTGCGTGTATGGCACTGCATGTCAGTAGTTGTGTTTAAAATGTTCAGGAACAGGTAAAACACTTATAGACTAATACTTCCTACTCGCAGACTTTATTGACTTGTGTGGTTTGTTTACTCGGTTTAGATTGAGACCAGATAGAATGTACACATGGCTAAAAAAATCAAACAAGATCTTGGCTAATTAAGTGTGATTCCATGCTTAGAGAAATAACAGAAGATAATATGTGCTTTCATCTAGGCCATTGCTGAGTTCAATATACACGCGTGGACTGGACAATGCTCTTCTGACCTCAATGTGATGATCCATATTTAAAAAAATTCTAAATGTTGTTGTGAGCTTGGCTCAAAGACATTGTTAAGCAAGCCATAACTATGTAGCAACCCTGCAAAAATTATCTGAAAAGATGGAAACAACAACTGAAGCACAAATAATATACTTGAAGCTGCTGAAAGATGCAACATACAGTGTGCTATTAAGTCACTTCTGCTATCCAGGTGGCATTCCAGACCAATTTTCAAGGCTCTGATATATATGTGGAAAAGGTTGAGGAAAATAATATTAGGCCATGCAACCAAATTTCTCATTCTATAATATCGTGATTTTTGGGAATATGGGGCCTACAGAGGGCGAACCTCAAATCTGATCATGAAGAGTCATTTGGAGTGTTGGCTATACCTACTTTTCTATGTGATTTTGTTGTAGTGAGCGAAGTTTGGAGGCCCATACTCTTATTAACCCTTTCCTAATGTTTGCAATCAGCACGCAACGTTTGAAGGACGCCCGCCTATGAAGATGCGATATATATTTCCCTCTGCTTAGAAGGAATTTATTAGTTTAAAGTTATTTTTAAATATATATTGAACAAACAACATAATTGAGAAAAATAGATGAGATAATGATATTAGTACATAAAAAACGTATTATAATTCTCATACAGCCATATAACTTACTTCCAAATTTTTTGCATTTAATCACCAAGACACTTACTATAGAATCATGGAAAGGGTGATACAATGAAGTGAAAAACTCCTTAATATAATTAAATAACTATACAATTAATTCTATAACCTTGTGATATATATTGTATATAAACTAAATACAATTTAAACCAAAACAATCAAATCCATAAGCAATTAATTACTGCACGCTCTTACAACCAACAGATGCAATTTGACTATGAGAGGCCTAAAATTAAGAAGATAAAAGTTAAAAACACGAGAATAAAATCAATTGACAATAAATAATAAAATGAGTGTGTACAATAATTAAAAAACTAACAAGAACCATAGAAAAATAAACCCTATAAAAGGCCATCAACGACAGTGAAAAATTTCATTCGCAGCAGGATGACACATAGCACCTGGTTTGGAGGTGTTCCACGCAATAATGATATTAAATCTAACCACAAAAAGTACAGAACGAAAACAAAACACAAAGGAAAAAAAAGACAAGCTTAAAGTGCTATTTAAGGGCCCGAAACCACAAAACAACGCCCCCTCTGCCGAAGTATCCTAAGCCGCAAAGGGAAGCAGTTTCTGTGCTTGGGGTAGCTGTGGTTCGGTCAATGCCTCAATCGACTAACCCTACAACAGACTTCCGTCTCTGGAAATAGTATACGAGAACGCTGAATCACCTAAGAATAATTTTCTGAGCCATTTCACATACATATTACACGATATAGACGTCTTCATATATATAACTAAAATACACCGTTACCAACACAAGAACGCAAGAAGAACAAAAGAAATGAAACTGTGGCATTTCGCCCCTGACCGCCGTCCTCTTACCCAGCTTGTCCTTTGGTGATTCTTATAAACTGGTAATTTTGTTAAAATCGCACTCGAACATAGGTTCTACCAGAAGCCGTCATCCTTCTCAAACCGTGTTGTTCGATCTACGGCGCTAAGGTTACGCCTATACCATTTCGCGCTGGTCCGTGGCTACACGAACCGTGCCTCTAAAGCACTTTAC